CATATCTACGAATGTGCACTTGATTTTTAACTTAACTTTAATTTTCGATGAACCATTACATAAAGGTAAATTTATTCTAAGTCTAGCATGTTTTGAATATTTTACTTTCATATTTGTGTTTCTTATTCCGGATCCTTTTATTACCCTATCCATTATTCGCCACAATAATGACCACTGTTTTTTTGTGTTGGTTTGACCTGTTTTCGCAACTTGGTCCCAGCTTCAAGAAGACCCTGTGGAAAGTACATAGTCCTGTGTCTTCTGCCATAGTATTCATTATTTTCAGGTTCGGACCATTGATCTGGTACGAGGGCAAACCATCTTGGTCTTCATATCTAAATTGTTTTTTTGTTTTTACCTCTCATTTTTCATCATTAATTCCGCTATTGTAGTCTTTTACTTCTACATTATCTATCTATTATAACTATAAAATATGATTCCGTCATTATTAAAAAATACTAAACTATTAAGAGATATATATACACATATTCATATATATATATATATATATATATATATATAACTTTGCCTCCTATTTATTGCTTTTAATGTTCTATTTGATCATATACACAGCTGTCACCTTTTTCTCCAGCCTTACTTTTTTATTAGATTTTTTCGTTGTCTTACTCGATTTCTATTAACTGCTCATTATTATAATACTTTTAATACTCGTTTCCCTTGGCAGCCCGAGTTCACTTGTATTCTTGATGGCACTGTCAACCCGGTTGTTCTGACTAACGTCTACTCCCAACACAAGCAACTTCTACAGAAGACCACAGAACAGTTCGCTGATCCGACTGTCTCATCATCGCCTTGCCCCTCTTCGGTCGCCTCATCTGCCTCTCCTAACTCATTGAGCCATATGTGTCCTCACCAGCTTCCTACTGCAAATTTAAATGGCCAGCCAGGACAGCGGGTACTCATTGCACCGTGTATCCCAGCCCCCGAGGCTGCAGCGCTTGGTTCGGCCGCTTTGCAATGTGACTCTACATCTCAGGCCTCTCAGGAAAATTGTACTTATTTAGAGGATCCAATAGCAAAAAGGGAAATAGAGTGCGAAATGGCATCCGAGACTTGTTTGGTTAAGCAAGGCCTTGTCGGCTTTCGTGTCTCAGCTGGTTCTGATCTCCTGCCAATCGAAAAATCAGCACCCCAAACTCTCAACAAGGAAGTCGTTGATGCTCAAGAGGAAGATGAACTGGAAGAGGAAATAGAAGAGGAAGAGGAGGAGGAAGGAGATTATTACGAAGATGAGGAACAGGGAGAGGTAGAAGGGGAATGCATAGGGCTTGAGGTGACAGATGACGATGGCTACTATGAGGTGCCTGATCCGGCCATAGCAACAGGATTGGGGCATGCAAGTCGGCCTAAGAAGAGCGTCAGTTTCTCGGAGCAACTGAAGGCAGCTCAGCTAGCAGCCGTTGCCACGTCTACTTTGCCCCTTGGTGTTGACCGTGATACTGCGGAGGTAGATGGCGATGCCTTTCAAAGTGATAAGGACGCTGATTCAGCAGAGTCTGATGAGCCCTGTTCATCCCCTTCTGTAGGACTGCCGCGGCAGCCATCGCTCGATTTCAAGGGTCAGTGGAGTTCTTATTTCATATACATTTTTCTGAGTGCCTAATTTTATACGCATTTACTTGAACACTTTCCAGAGTGATTTAATTTGCCTCATTGATTGAAAGTTTCTCCTTCACTTTGATTTTCAAGCGGAGATTTTATTCTAATGGAATTAGTAAGAATCCCGCAAACTGCAATTATTTTGCTTTGTATAAAATAATTTGGTTAATGAAATTAAGGAATTCACTTTAATTTTCCTTACCATGTGACCAAATTGCAAAGTAGTCA